TAGACCAGGCTAGCCTCGAACTCTCGAACTCAGAAATCTGCCTGCCACCACCGCCTGGCCATTTTTTTTTTAAGGCTGAATTTATCCACAGCATTCTTTAGTAATAAACCCATACATACTCTAGTTTGCACTCAAATATAGGCCTATATAAAAAAAAAACCAATTTTTAGACAACAAAATGGCTATTCTAAAGTCCCAGTGAAGTATTAAATTCACTTCAACAAAATGTGTTCAGCTTGCCTGTAACTTTTAACTAATATCTAAAGGGCCAGCACACGAAGAATTTTCCATTATTTCAAGACTTAACGAGGTAACTGGATAGTCTGTAATGTAGCATGGGTTCCCATGGATCCCTGTGAGCCCCTGAGATGGCTGAACAAGCAGTAGCAAGTACCTGCACTGAGCCCTTCTGAGGACTGCCAGTTTAGCTTCCTAGGACACTAGCCCAGGCTCCCTTCTCATATTCCGTGAGATGTTTTCACTGCTTGGTTGTGAGTGGATCTGTGACACTACTTGGCCTTTTCTTTGAGAACAGTACTAAAGGAAGTCTCTCTTGGGATTGGGAAAAGCACAAAAACAGCCCTAAGAGCATCAGTATAGCATAGGCTTTCACCAGGCACGTTGACTAGACATGTGACCTAAGAACATGGTCATAGGCTAAATTTTTTGTCAAAAAAAATTGTGTGGGAAACAAACACGCATACAAGGAGAGCATATGCTAGTGGGAGGACAGTTTGTGGGAGCCCTCTCATGGGTCCTGTAACACACAACACACACACACACACACACACACACACACACACACACACACCGATTCCTATCCACAATGTACTCAAGTGTTAGTGGAAGGTTTTTGTTAAGTTTGCTTTTTTTTTTTTTTCTTTGAGACAGGGTTTCTCTGTGCAGCCCTGGCTGACCTAGAACTTACTTTGTAGATCAGACCAGCCTCCAATTCAAAGATCTGCCCACCTCTGCCTCCTGTGTGCTAGGAATAAAGATGTGTGCCACCACCACCCAGTTGAGTGCAGTTTTAATAAGGGGTAGGGAAGAGGTTGTTGGCTGACCCCTTCTTTACACAAAGGCAGCTATGAAGTTTTATATGTGTAGCCCACATTGAGAGACATTTTAAGAAACTTAATTATTTAACTACAACAAGGGCTTTGAAATAGCCAAAAGACACTAATATTTGCATAGTCACACTAGTTGAAATGTATCCAAATAGAAAAGTTTGGGATCAGAGTACTTGTTTTGACAAAGAACTACTTTTTACCCATTCTCCAAGTGTCACAGAGACTGTTCTATTAATGTGAAGAGACACAATGACCAAGTCAGGTCTCTTTTCTTTTATAAAAGAAAACATTGAACTGGGAAGTGGGAGGGGGCTTGCTTAGTTCCAGAGGTTTAGCTAATTATTATCATGGTAGGAAGCATGGCAGCACACATTGGCAGAAGCCACACAGGGAAGGCTGTGACAAGCAAGTTTCCTGGAGAGGGCCTACAGTTTTGTATGGCTGTGATGGGTGAACCCTGGAAAGGCAAAGCCCCAGGAGCTTTGTTCCAGGACTGCTTCTTGATGCTGGTGTGCCTTCTCCTGTTTTGTCATTGCTGTATTCCTCATCTTTCTGACATGCTGCGGCTGGGCAAACAAAGACCCTTTCTACCTATAGTCTGTTATGATTGATTCCTGGGCATTAGCCCACACTATAGGGCAGATTCCCTGCAGAATCAATATGAAGATGTACTTTCATGAATTAATGTAGTTGTTAGATGAGTTAATGACTTTAGAGAATTCCTGATTTGGTACAAATAATTTTAGGAAGTTAAAATAATTGATAGAAAGTTTAAGGAGATAGTTTTAGTTGTTTTTAGAAAGATACATAGGAATACACAATGAACTTTCATACACTAAAAGCACATAAAATGCACTATGAAGAAAAATAGTTTTGGAACAAATTAATGATCAAGGAAAAACATTCATTTATTCTAGGTCAGGTCCAAAGATGAGGCCATGGGTGACACCCTGATAAAGCAAGGTCATGCAAACTATTGCTTTGGACTTAAGAGCTTATAGAATGAAACACAGCTTTGAACAATATCCTGCTATAACTCCCCATATAACATTTTATCTATGAGGTAATTTTTTTTTCTTACATAGAGAACTTTCATCTGAGAAGCTATATAAAGTGTGACTGTTGGGGCTGTGCTCCATCCACCAAATGAATGTGTATGTGTATGTACATACACATGTATATAGGCATATATATACATATATGTGTGTACACTTGTGAAAGAAACTGAAACTGGTGGTCAAGCCTGCTCAGTGTGTGTATGCAGGATTTCCCCTCTTTTCTTGTTTCTTGCTGGCTTCTTCTTCTTTTTTTTTTTTTTTTTTTTTTGGTTTTTCGAGACAGGGTTTCTCTGTGTAGCCCTGGCTGTCCTGGAACTCACTCTGTAGACCAGGCTGGCCTCAAACTCAGAAATCCGCCTGCCTCTGCCTCCCAAGTGCTGGGATTAAAGGCGTGCGCCACCACCGCCCGGCTCTTGCTGGCTTCTTAAGAGTTGAGTTTCTCAGCTGGCATTCTGGCTGGCCCAAGTGTGTTACTGGGTGTGAGCTCTGAGAATTCAAAAGCCCATACCAGGCCCAGCTTCCCTCTTCTACCCCCTGCCCCTACCCTTGGCCCGTGGATCAGGATGTAGCTCTCAGCTACTGTTCCAGCTCCATGTATTGTCAAAGACTGGCTTTGACATCCCGGTAAAGGTAAACTGAGGTGAAACGAGAAAATAGCTGGACCCAAAGCTTCTGGTAATTTGGGCTTTGGTGCTCTTCGGGAGGCAGATCTGATGGTGTCTGGTAATTAATTCCTGCTGAGAGCATTAGGGGATTAGAAGACACACTTCTTCCATAAAGGCCACACCTCCTATTTTTATAATTCTTTCGAACATTTCCACTTCCTGGTGACCAATCATTCAAATATATGAGACTATGGGGGTCATTCTTATTCAAAGTAGCACACCAAGTAACCTAAGCCATCTTAAACATTTGAGGTTTGATCAAGTAAGATGTTTATTAGAACCTCTTTCAGTTTGAACTAGATTATACCTTTGGAAACAAACACATTTTACTCTACAAGCAAGCAAAAGGGACTCTAGGATTACTTCCTTTTATGTAGATTGCTTTTAGGTCACTGTAAAAAGCTTAGGAAAGGACATCAGACAAGGTAAAAGGCTCAAAGTCACACAGCAGGGATAATTGCTACTTTGTTACATATGACCGTTGACACCCATTTGTGGTCCTAGTTTTCCAAGCAGAGTCTGAAGTTTCTGACAGCCCCTCACCCAGGTTCACTTGGCAGTGCAGCCAGACATGGACAAATCACCTGCTTTACTGACCCCACCACTGGCTTTTCAAAGTAACAGACATTCAACATCATTGGTAGTTCTGCATCATTAAAAATTCCTTCCAACCGCCTACTACTCAAAAAGCTATCATCACTGCAGACTCCTTCCCCAACAGTCAGCGAAAGCTCTGTGTGTGTGTGTGGCTTGACTGTAATCTAACTTCCTTTAATTTTTTTTTGAATAAAACTACAGAAAACCAATGCTTATTACTTAACCTTCTCAGTTTGATTTGTTTTATAAGTTTAACTTACAATCTCAAAGGACTTACAGTTTTTAATAAAAGATTTAAAAACCACAAGAATAGAAATAAAGTTAACCAGTCCCCAGAGATCTGAATGAAACAAACTCCTAACTGTAAGGGAATGACTTTCTCAAACATGTGATGTGATGACACTCATTTCATGAGGACCAACATGTAGCATTTAAGGGAAAGAAAGGTTACAGTATTTCAAATACTATTTAGAGTCAGCCAACACACATTCTGCACTGTCTAGATAAAGTGCTGGGTACTGTTTTGCTTACCAATATACTAGAAAGCTAGTGCCTTTTGGGAAGGAAAAAAAAAAAGGCTTATTTTTCAGGTTCTAGATTTTCTTTTTTTTTTCTTTTTTTTTTTTTTGGTTTTTCGAGACAGGGTTTCTCTGTATAGCCCTGGCTGTCCTGGAACTCACTCTGTAGACCAGGCTGGCCTCGAACTCAGAAATCCGCCTGCCTCTGCCTCCCGAGTGCTGGGATTAAAGGCGTGCGCCACCACCGCCCGGCAGGTTCTAGATTTTCAGTTTAGCAGTATCGTCCTTTATAAAACACTAGTAAGAATTCAGCTAATCTTAAAAATCTTCACTTTTTAAAAAAAGTCACAGACCCTAGAAAACTGCACCTAAATGTAAAGCCCTGGTTTCAGTGTATACTGATTTTATAAAGCATCTCTCTCAAGAAAGTGCCTTGCCCCTCTCCTCCCACCATGAGTGACACTGGTTTGTAATAGAAATCTGGTAAAAAGAAAAAAAAAAAAACCCAAAAAACTCCAACATGGGACCTCCACAGCTTTCATGGAAACAAACCCAGCCTTTGTGTTTTCTCCTACGTTCTCCAAAGAGTTGACATCGATCACTGCATTTAAAAAATCATAACCTCAACTCAAGATACCGTACATGAAAACAGTATGAATGTACTAAGTAAATATCACATTTTTATACAGTTTGAGAAACACACATACACAATAGTATAGTGAACAAATTATGTATTTCAAATGAGCTCACTCGTGCTTAATGCATCTTCTGCAGAGGATGTCTTCAGACTGGCCTTCACAGATGGGCCCTGTGTTGGACTAGCAGACACTCTCCACTATCCACAGAAGCACTCCTTGCTTTCTGCATCCAGGAGCTGGATGTGATTATCACAGACTGCTAGAAGACTACAGAGGACAAGCCGTCCTGTGAACTGGAGACAGTACTCACCCCAGGCAAGACTGCTAAAGAGTAGAAGGACTTTTTCCAAAATGAAAAGATGACCATTTTCTTAAAGACTAGAATTTTAAAGTCTTTTTTTTTTTTTAATTTAATCTTTATAGACCCAAGTTCAGTGGACTCTCAGATCAGTGTCTATAATTCAGTTGAGTGTTCAGGACTACAGAAGTCATCTTGAGTCTTTCTACGAAAGTACGTACATATCTTCCTCATGGAGTTGGGAGTAATGGTGACCTAGGAGAAAACGAAGACTTAGAGACAACCCAAGTTCCAAGTCCCCACAGCAAGTGTCTAGGTTATAACTGCCACTCTCCTGAGCAAATCAAAATCAGCCCCTCAACTGATAAAGCGAATAGCACTCTCTTCATTTTCTTTCAATAAAGGAACATTTTTCTCTGATAAAGAAATAGTAGTTGTATATAGTGGCACACCCCCACAATCTCAGCACTTGGTAGGCTAAGGGAGACAGGTCCTGAGTTCAAAGCCAGTCTGGGATACATAGTGAGAATATGTAAGTCAATAAAATGTAAAAACATCAATACCAAAACCAAAAACCAAAATACAACAACATAGCCCCAAACTTAAAACCTAAAACTTAAAAAAACATGCATCAGCACACTAGTCTTAAAGCTTTTAAGATTTACATTATTATTACATTATTTACATTATTATTGCAAAAGTAATTTTCACCTCACCCCTCATCATGGGGGTCAGGAAAGACACGTGGGAGACAGAGAGACACAGTTCCTAAGCTACTGTTCTGGCTTAGGAACACAGAACACTCCTACTATTGAGAAAAAGAAACTGTCATTTTCTGTAGCAAAGTTTTGCTTCAGCTTACAGAGTACACAGCCTTTATATATCCTTTGTTGTTTCCTCTCCCGTAAGCACAGGCTAGCTAGGTTAAGGATGTTAAGTGGGGAAGGACCCACGTTAGTACTAGTCTAAAGATAGCTCTGCCCCTAATTGGATTGGGCTCCTTTCCATCCTCCTCTTCAACTCAGAGCAAGAGCCTTGTGAGCCCCAGGAGCTGACTGCCCCTCTCCGTAACTTCACACTGTGTAATAGCAGCTCTCCACTGCACTGCGGGTGTGCATGGCGTACCCAATGCCCAGTTACTTCTGACTTCACCACTTTACAAAGCTCATTTCTGCCACAGTAATTAAATGTCATGTCAGTCAATGAAAAGTGAACCTTAGAAATAAGTGTTCAGAATATTGCTATATGCCAGACAATCATAAACTTGAGAAAAAGCCAGTAAAAATAAGTTAAAAAAAAATCAAGGATCCTGTAATTTAATTGCTTTGAAATATTTAAGTTTCATTTTAATCATAAAATGCAATTACAAGCATGAAAATCTACTTATGGATATTGGCAAGTTTCCCAAGGATAAAGTTTACTAAAAAAAAAAAAAAAAAAAAAAAAAAGCCATACTGTCTACCAGGAGAGATATTTTTGAATCGACACTCTGGATGGTGAGAGGAAGGCTTTAGTGAGTCAAGCAGTAAGCCTGAGGAATACGAGCAGATAAAAGGATTAATGAAGTAACAGGACACAAAAAGTTATTAATCAGAGCCCCAGACAATCTGAGAACTGCATTTGGTCCCCTTCAAATAGGACACGTATCCTCCCACACTGTAGGCTTACCGGGCCTGGTGATGTCTTGCCACTTTGTCTCCTGGAACTGGGTGTCTGGGATGATGGACTTCTTGGAGATGAATTCTCTGCCTTGTGTTTGGCTGCCATGGCCAACAACCAGTTCTTATTCTCTGGGGAGCTATTCTCCTTGCCCACCATTTCAGATCCATCTCCACAAGGTCTCAAAGGAAGAGGCAGTTGTCCACAGCCTTCAGAAACATAAGGACTGACAGGAGAAGGAGGCTCTGAGATACTTGTGCCAGCACCTTCAATCTTGCTTGATTTGGTAGGACCCGCAGAGTCTTGGCTAAGGACTTCCTGGGTGCCGGAAAGGCAGCACAGATCCAAATGAAGACTCTCCACTTGGCCGTCAAGCTCAGTGACACAGTTGCAACTCTTCACACACTTTTGTTTCACACTCTCCAGACAGCTTGAGTCAAGACGCCTCTTCACTCTATTTCTAGATTCAGAGCAAGCATCTGCTTTTGATGACTTCTGGCTCACAGGAATAAGGGCTTTTCTTGGAGATGAGATCTTTGTCTCAGAAGCAGGTGGAGTGACAGGTGGTGATGAAGAAGGTGTTCGGGTCACCCAGTTTCTAAGTGACATCTTGAAAGAAGAGAGTGGCTTGGGAGACACAGAAGAGATGGAGCCTCTTCTGCTGACTGGAGAACGGGTCTTGGCAGGAGTGGTTTTGCCTGAGAATGTGGGGGTATTTGAAGGAAGAGGGAGATCTCCTGCACAGCTTGGAGTACAAGCTGCTGACGAAGGAGAGGAAATGGATGGACTGCTCTTGGCTCTGGGAGCTTTGGCAGGAGTACTCTGGCTACTTGGTACCGTTACTGAAAATGAAGAAGAACATGAAAATCAGAAAGAAAATGATGTAGTCCTTGATTTTTCATCAAGGGACATATCTAACGTCATCATCTAAGAATTGGTTTGCCAGTAAATAGATAGCTAAAATCATTTCATTTCTACCATACCCCCCTAACACTTTTTTTCCCTCTGTCTAACAGCTTCCTAAGCCCTCTGATGTAAAACATATACTTGCAAAGCCTAGGAAAGATAAAACTTAAAACACCAGCAAACCACTCCCAACAGTCTCCACGTGCAAGACTGAGACCAGAGCATCTCAATCTTGGCTGCATAACAGACTTACCTAGAACTTTATGAACCTACAAACAGTTGACCTCCACCCAAGACTTAAAAACATCCAGAAGTGGCAAAGTATAAATTTTTCAAAATCTCCACAAGTGGTTCGAATGCCTAGCCAAGACTGAGAACCCCGGCCTCAATAGTGCTATGTGATCTCCAACTGAAGCACTGTGAAAAAACAGTAAGTAATGGAGCAGGTGCTGGCTGGACAAGTAGGTCAAAGGGAAGAAGGTTATATCTTGCAGTTAGTGTTAAAAAAGCCAGAGAGTCTATCTGAAATCAGGACAGAAATAAATAAATAAATAGAACTTGGGAAAGCAGATAAACACAATTCTCAAAAAACTGGCAGTGTAGCAGACAATCTGTTATGGAAGTTGGCTTATAGAGTGCAATGGCTGTGCTAGAGAGGTCAGGCTAGCCTCAAACTTGCTACTCCCGAGGACTGGGATTAAAGGGATGTGCTACCACACAGGCTGTGATGACATCTGCTACTACTGCTTTCCTGCTGCCCCTCGCTGCTTCCGCGCTAAGGGCACTGAGGCAGACATGCCAGTGGTCTCTCTCCTGCAACACCTTATCCTCGCCATGCTGTGCCTGGAACAGTCTTCAAATATCCACATGGCTTACCAACTACCCCACTTACCTAAGCCAGTGAGGCCCCCTTTCATAGAAACACTTGACAGCTATTTCCATTCTTTTCTCTCTCACTATGCTTAGCACCTTGTTACTTCATGTGTTCACAACTGAGATTTGAGTCTTCTGGTCATTGCTAAACAAAACTAAGTACATAGTACATGACAGTCCATAAATATTTGTTGGCTAAATCCATTACTGTGCTTTGTGATCAGGATATTTCTCTTATAAGAAATGCCAAGGGCTGGAGAGATGGCTCAGCGTTGAAGAACAATGACTGCTTTCCCAGAGGTTCTGAGTTCAATTCCCAGCAACTATATGTTGACTCAAAACCATTTGTAATGGGATCTGATGCCCTCTTCTGGTGTGTCTGAAGACAGCAACAGTGTACTCACATACATAAAAAGCCAAGATGGTGTTTCTCTTTAAACAAGAGCAAACCAAGCCTCCACAGTACACAGTAGGACTCAACTAATGAAACAAACAAACCAACCAACCTTTGGAGAATGCATGCTCTCCTTACCTGGGCCAGCTTTCACTTCTCTTTTCTTCTGAGAGGTCCAACCCACTATGGAGTGTTTATCGCCTTCCGGTTTCTCCCCTAGGCCTCTATTCAAGCGCCAGATTTTTAGTGTATTATCATCAGAGCAGGTTGCAATCTAAGAACCAGGAAGAGAATGTGAAATTTCAAATAAAGTTTCACAATAAAAAAGAAGTTCATGGAGGGCTCATGAGTGGTGACTAATTTTCTCTGCTGTAACATAACACTACAGATGACATCTGAAAGATCACCTACTTCTATCTCTTGTGTTACAGAATCATTCTAGATTTCCAGTGATACAAATGTTAGTTTCTTGCATGTACATGTGTATCAAATGGAGAACAGAAAAGAGCATCAGTGTCTGAAGTTACAGATGGCTGTGAGTTGTCATGTGTGTGCTGGGAACTGAGCCTATGTCCTCTGCAAGAACAGCAGAGGGCTCTCTCCAGCACCATTCTCTCTTCATCTAAGGCTTTACAATTGCAGGCTCATTTCTTTTTGGTCTCTAAAGAAGACGGTAACTCAAATCTTCAAGTTTTTACATAATATCATGAAATTATGGTTTTCTTCTATGAAATGATCAATCAATACATATTAATTTTTCAAGCTTTTTTTCCTGAATTCTGAATGCTTAATCTCATTGCTAAAGCAATGAGAACATTTCCCACATCAGATATAGCCTGTGCCTCCAGCAGTCCACGACAAGTGCAAAAGAGCCACTCTTCCTCAGAGATGCTCTTTCAGATAGGTAAAGGAGTAATCTGGAAAAACAGAAGTTCACTAGTCCGAAAGAAGTTTAAAAATAACCTTTGCCCCTTTAAAAATATCTGACTATTCCTGATCTTGGTCCCAAGCCTTTTATGGCAGAGAAAGCCTAGCTTGAAGAGCTAGAGGCAAATGGCCACTAATGCCAGAGCTGTTCCCCAGCATTTGTTTATACAATTTCTCTATTTCAGTCACTAAACAGAAAGGAAAAAAGAACACACGTTCTTTTAACTTGTGGCCCCCAAGAGACTGGCAACATTTTCCTTCCCTTACTGGGAGGCCAAAAGATACATATTTTACTCAACGAAAAATGTTTGGAACTCCACAATTACTCTATAGTGACAATAATTATATTTATAGACACCCATTATACATCTGCTTCTTTACATTATCTTATTTAAAAAACCTTTTAAAGCTGGGTATAGTGGCATACACCTGTAAGCCAAGCAAATAGAGAAATAGGCTAGGGCAGGAAGACAGTGAGTTTGGAGCTCTGAGCTGGACAGCAGCAAAACATTCTCTCTGAAAACCAAAACTCTACAAAACAATTTTTTTGTCCAAAGTATCATGATGAAATGCAAACGCTGGAATTCAAACTAAGACTTCCATTCTAGAATTTAAGGCTTAAAAAGACAAACTCGATCTCCCAACTCTAAGCTTTTGAAAAAATTATTTTAAAGAAGTTTTAAAAGGTGTGATCACTAGATGAGTGTAGTTAGTTTTGCTTGCCATTTGAGTTTTTTCTCATAAGAAATATAATAGTTGGAAGAAGTTGTCATAATTAAAAGCGGTTGATCTTAGTAAGTTCACAATGGTCTACCTGATAACCCATGTACAAAGCAAGGCATTTCATTTTATTGGATATTACAGAGTCTTAGAGAGGAAACGTCACTAGGATGACAACTACAGTAACGAGTTCAGGAAAGGTCAGCACGAACAAGGAACTGCTCTAAGTACATGAAAGTCTCATAGTGAAGCCTGTCCTTGTGTACACTTATAACACCAAAGCAACGGGCTAGCAAGACAAACAAACAAAACCTAGGAAAAATCCACAGCAGCTCTGAAACTTCTAACGGGCTGCCAGTGCCATGGGTCTGAAAGATTAGAAAAACTAAAGTCAAAACCAAGACAAGCAACAAGGCTCCCTATATGTAAACATAGCTTCTACTTCTGGCCTTTTTACATTTTTAAGTAGTTACTAGTTTTCTGATCTGCTTCTTGTAGTTTACCCAGGTAACTTGTCCTGTTATGACTTCACAGTAACCACTTTGTCAGTGATGTGAAAATTCACATCACTTTGTAGCAAACAGCCAGCTGTTAACGTACACTAGTAATACATAAAAGAGTAAATACTAACTTTTAACTGATTTTTAATTTTTCTCTTTACCCAATTTCCATTTTGTTATTTTCTTGACTCTCTTCACATCTTCATTAACTGCTCTGAGCTTTAGAGAGTTTTATGTATGTGTGAGTAGGGTAGTGCATGGGCACACTGAAGCCAGAGGAAGGCTGGGCACGTTCCCACTATAGCTCCTCTCAGACAGGGCCTCCCACTAATTAGAAGTTCATGAGCACTCCAGCTAGGCAGGCTGGCTGGTCACCAAGCTCCTGGGATGTTCCTATCTCTAATTCCCAATGACAAGGTTACAGGCATTTGAGGCTACCCAAGCTTTTAAAATTGATCCTTGAGATTTGAACTCAGGTCCTTATGATTACATAGCAAGTGCTTTTACCCACGGAGCCATCCTCCAGCCACATACCATTTTTTCATCTTAGATTTGGTTTTGTGACAGCAGGTACACATGGAGGGCAGATGTGCTGGATCCCCCTGGAGCTGGAGATACAGGCAGCTGGCTATGAGCCTCCTGATGTTGATATGGATGCTAGGAACCATACTCAGGTCGACCTCTTAAAGAACAGTGTTTACTCTTAACCACCGGGCCACCTCTCTAGACCTTCATTTCAGATTTTAGTGAATTAGAAATCCAGTACATAATGGTTTCTCATATTGGCAAGAAAAAGCAAGGAGAAGAAGTATGTGTGTTATAATGCACATGTGATATACATTCTGGATTCTTTTAAATGCCTGAACATGAAAGTCTGTATCATTTTAAATAAACCATGGGAAAATGTGCAAGTCTAGGATCCACTTTTTAAAATCAGTATGAAGACTCATCCACAAACCTTGGTGAAGTCTGATGGACACCAGCACACAGACGTGACCTCTTGAGAATGACCCAGGAGAACAGTAGGAGGATGCCAGGGCATGGAAACCTAGCCAAATCAAAAAGAGCAAGTCAGAAGAACAGTGTTTGCTCCCCCATAGAGGCCACAGCCTCCTTGACTATGTTTTAGGCTTTAGGGTTGTTAATAAAGTTAGAGCTATCTAAGTTCAATAGTCAAAGGCAAGACTATGAGGTCAAACAGCAGCTGGCTCTTATTTAAATTAAAATGCAATTTTGGCGCTGTCCCTCAGTCACTGAGCACTGAAGTTCAGTTTCAGATACTGCTTTTCAACCCGGTCCTGCTTTTACACAGCACAGGCACATCCAGATCTTCTACAGTCAGCCACTTCCAGGACTATTAGAATCAAGTGAATCCTGCAGGTACCTGAAATGGGCAGCTAGCTCTTTTAGGATAAGAAGGTTTAATTTTTCTGCTTAAAGCAAGACACACTGACTATGACCAAAATCCAAAGTATCATCTTTTCATTTTCAGCTGGATAACCTTCAATTTGAAGAAAGGGACATGAGCTACAATTTATACTTTTTCATGCAAACATTTTCTTATCTTTGGATGCTTTCAGTGATAGGCACTTGATAGCACTGTACAGTCAATTCTTTTAAAGCACACAGGAACCCCAGCATAATAAAGAGTACAAGCTCCCTCTGCTATTATCAATACATGTATTTGAAAAGAAAGGTGCATGGTGAACACATTCTCTATTTTCCTGAGGCTCTGAATCATGGATCATTTGCATGAAGGAGGTAACTTTTGGAAAGAATACTTGACAATGACTAAGTCAGCTTAACAGATTCTTCAGATTACAACCAAGATAATCAACACTGGTTCATAAGGTCATCTAACTCAATCATTACCACTCTTGTATCTGCTATGAGGCAAATGTACAATGATTTAAATTGCAAAAACGAAGAATATATTCTAATTTACCTTGTTAAGTTAATGTATTAAGTTTAATGTATTAACAGATACATAGATCATTTCTACAATGTCATAGACTGTAAGACATTCTTTCACAGAAAAATACACTTTATAAAGGACATTAAAAGGTGGTTTCGACGGGCAGTGGTGGCCGCACACCTTTAATCCCAGAACTTGGGAGGCAGAAGCAAGTGGATTTCTGAGTTCGAGGCCAGCCTGGTCTACAGAGTGAGTTCCAGGACAGCCAGGGCTACACAGAGAAACCCTGTCTTGAAAAACCAAAAAAAAAAAGTGGTTTCTTACTAACCCATCAACCAGGAATTCCTTTCTATTTTCAATGCCCCTAGTCCATTAGGTTTCTCTTTACCCAAGACTCAAAAGACAGAGGAAATCCTCACATTCATGTAAGCCATCTCTGGCAAAACATTTCTTCATGTCATTCTATGACCCTGTCACTGTTTAGTTTCTTAGGGTCTACCTAGGGAACCTAACTGTATACACAAAATACTAAAGTTTTAAGAAAGACCCTTATAAAAACTCATAGAGCAAAGAACCAGTATTGATAGCAATAAAGTCATCATTTTGTCACTGAATTCATAAACCAGATACTTTATTTAGTATCAAAAATAGGTAGAAGTTACCTAAAAAACAAAACAAAAAAACCAAAAAACCCTCAACGTGGGTAATTAGGTATCACATGACCCATTCTTTGATATGATATATATTCTTATATGTGCTGGGAGAAATGAAAATATGTTCCAGCAAAACCATATAAACGGTGACAGAATTTTAATAATAGAGTGTAACAATTCCAAACATTCAAAATGACTATCGACTGGTAAGCAGAAAAAAAAATAAGTTTTGTCTATAAAATAGAACATTCTTTAGCCTTAGAAGTACTGAAGTAATGTGCAACTTGCCAAAACCTGGAGAATATACTAAATGAAAGTCAGACACAAAATGTCACATACTATCTGATAATATTTATATGAAGTATCTCAAATAGGCAACTATCCATGGAGAGAAACAAAACAGTGATCAAACTGAATTGTACACAATAACACAAAAGTATTATTTATCGATGCTAGGGAATCAAGTGCAGGGTTCTGCATATGCTAGGCAAGTACTCCAACAACTTACTATACACTTACTATACACAAAATACTTTAGTACACTTAAGTAGATTTTCATCCAACTACTAGATTTTGTTTTAGTAAAAAGAGGAAGGAACAGAAGCCAATTGCTGATAAGGTTTTTTGTGAACTTTGGTAACAAGGGCTTTGACAGCTGAGGACTATCTTAGGGTACTGTCTTAGACTACTTTAAACAGGATTTGATTTCATGTCTTCCCTTTTGAGTAGGAAGGAAACTAAACAAAAACAAAACACAAAACACCTAAACACCATGGCGTGGTCAATACAAAAATGGTCCTCTTACACATACTCTACTTTCTATAGAAAAAGTCACAAGGAATCACAGAGCTAAAATTCTAAGGGACCTCTTGAAGTAAATGATTCTGACATCTCGATCTCAGAAAGTACTTTGAGTACTTAAGCATACAAGGAAAAAAATCCATCAGCACTTTTCCTCAAAAAAATCTCCTTACTACGCCCAATTGGAAACCAAATCTAATCTTTATTTTTGCCATGAGATCATTTACACTTCCTAAAGTGTCAGGCTCAGTGTTCCGCCAGTCAGCGGTAGGGTGGCCATGCCAAATGAGTTTATTTATATCCATTTCAGTACTATTTAGTGGCTGTGTCAGAAACAGACAGGGGAAGAGAAGGTGGACTGTTGGGTGGGAAATTAAAAAGAAGAACATTCAATGGTTGTCTTTTTAGGATGTTGAGCGGTAGTATCAGTCCACAGATTTAGTCGTTCTCTTTTGCCTGAAGATATAAAACTCTTTTCTTTTGTTGTTTCCTTATGCAAGGACTTTAGCATAGATCAGAATCAATGTCAGAGCCCAATCTAACCCATTAGAGAAGTAGTAGCAGGGTTAAGATACCCCAGTAGAGGGACACTCAAGAGTACATGGGAAATCCTATTTAAACTCCTTCTTCCTTTAATAATGGAAAAGAAAAACTAAACCATCTCACTGGGCAAATTCTAGTTTAGGAGCAGCAAGCTTGCCAAGATCTCAAATATCAGGACCTGCACACTAAGTTAAGTGTGGACAGGCAGAACATCCTGTCTGAACCATGTCATTCATTGGTGATGTGGAACCAAACCTGGGAATTTAATAAAGGTCACCCATATATGTGTTTGTCGCAAGATTTCTAATGGGCTAGAAACCCCAACAAGTACTTAGTGTGTACTACCTCAATTCTCACTAACCAAACGCAACATTTAAAAAGGATGCTGTGCTAGAGAAATTTAAAGAACTGGTAAGAAAATTTATATGTATATATTTAGTTACATATATAATTATGTGTAAATATAATTAACATCTAAAACGGCTTAAAACAATGGTTGGTATATATGTATTTTTGCTTGAATATTTTAATCTAGTATTTATGCATGGAATTGGCCATTCTATTATGTTATTTGATACATCTAAATTTTCAGTTGGTGTTTTTCTTTCAAGAAAGAAAACTCAAATGACACAGACTTGTAGAATGAATGAAATTCTGTAACTAAGTTGGGAATTAAAGTAGAGAAATAAATGCAGTAAGACAGTGAGGGAAGAAGAAACAACAAACTTTGAAACTTAAAATTTTAAATATAAGCATTTGTACTGTAACATACAGACAGTTTAAAACTTCTGGAAGAGTAAAAAAAAGCAGGTAAAAGGCACTTTTGTAAGAAGAGTCTCAAATATATACTCATAAAAAAAATTTCATTAAAACTCCAATAATAAAAATGCACATTAGAGACAGGCCTAACACAACTGCCTTGGTCAGATTGGCATCCCCATCTTATGACCACTGGGGAGACTGTCACTAGAAGCTGCTGTGGAGACCATGTCATTCTTGCAACTCCAGGGTAAGAATCATCCTTCTGTCCTTCCCCTAGGACTTCTTTCCATCAACATCACTTAAGTTTCTTGGCTTATGACAGGTGCTTTAGAATATGGATATATAAAATGTGGTTTTTAAGAAGCATATATTCACTATATTCACTTAATAAACAATAATGGAGAATCTATAAAATAAGGAAATATTAAACAATACTATCAATTGTATTAAAATACCTGTTAATAGCCTGAAGGCTAGATATTGCTGTAAGAAAAAAGAATAAAGAAGAGTTATTATACCAAGGGTTGTGATTAACTGTTTGCATGAAACTACGACGGATCCCTAGGAAGACTCTGACAACGTGGAACAGAAGGGGCAGTGTACATCATAATTTCCAAGAAGCAACAGCAGGGAAGGTTCTGACCACTTTTCAGAATTCTCCATCTCCTGACAGCCTGCCTGGGACACAGAATGCCCCATCTCCTGCACCTTTTTTCGACATGGTATTATTCATAAAAGGAAGTGCACAGCAAGTGACCTTGCAAACATTTGATGGAGAAAGTCAGCAGTGTGTGCTTGTGCTTTGTGAACCTCAGACTGGAACACAGCCTTCTATTTGTGTGGGGATTCAACAACTCACCTTCCAAATGTAGGCAGCTTCATCACTTGAACCACTGATTAAAAACTGGTCATCTGGACTAAGACTTGATTTTACATAAAAGGTAGAGTTCTGGTGTCCATTGAAGACAGCCACTGCCAGAGGAGAAAAACCAAATTACTTGGTTACTATCATTTCCAGTATCCTGATGAATGCAAATGACACACACAAAACATACAAGAGTTATCACTGTCTCAACTCCTGTTAACAAATACTAGGGAACCAAGTGCTGGGACAGAACAAAATAAGACACAGACTAAAAACCAGGTTTGTATTCGACCCAATCGACTTAACATCAACTTGCTATGGAACTGATCAAATGTATCATGACAATGTCATGAAAAAGAATGCAGGCTGTCTAATCCTATAGTAAATACAGACTGTGCCTATCTTATTATCCTGTAGGATTTTCTCCACTGATAATACACTGACTGTGGGCCTCTTGAGGGTATGTCTCACTTTTTCTAGGCTGTAGTACTTTAAATAAAACCTCAAATATTTGTTGCATGAAAGGTAAAAATAAGTGAAAAGAATCATTTAAATTCTTGCTGACATGCTGAAGTTTATAATTTTATCTTTATTATTAATTTATTTTTTCTGTGTAGCCCTGGCTGTCCTAGAACTCAGAGATCCACCTGGATTTTTTTTTTTTTTATAAATCTAACTCTTTAACGGGCTAAATGTTAGATGGACCTAGAGGGGCACGATGTATGTTCATCTGTAAAATGCTTTGTCAGGGTTAGGTTTCTCACTAGATAAAGAAAAAGAGCTAATAACCACATCTTGTACAATGTGCTCCTGAGACTGCTGGCATCAGAACACTACTAAAAAATTTAAGCTTAGTTACCAGAGAATTTAAAGATAAAACAGGAAAAAAAAACCCAAAACATTTGAATGCTTCACTGAGGGAAAAAGGCAAGAGTAAGAATTTCAATGGCTTTTGTTAAGTATCACAGAAATTCATACCATTTAAAAACACACTAGGGGAAAAAAAAAAACTTTGTATTAATACCTTTTAAACAAAAACAAAAACAAAGCTTGGTTCTGAAGAGATGTCTCAGGGTTAAGAGCACTGCTTTTCTAGAGGCCCCAGGTTCAGTTCCCAGCACCTACATTATGGCTCAATAGTAGCTTTTAACTGTACATGCAGATACAACACTCACATGCTCAACAACAATGTGACAAAGACCTACATAACAGAAGTTCCTTCACTCTGAGCACTGCTTCAAAACTGAAGTTATTTATCTTTTGCACTGAACTATGAACAGAAAATTTAAACTGAATTTCCTACTAACCCTATTTTGTTTGTTTGTTTTTCAAGACGAGCTTCTCTGTGTAGTCTTGGCTGTCCCGCACTCTATACATCAAACTGGCCTTGAACGCAAGAGATTTGCGTGCCTCTGCCTACAAGGGCCAGGACTAAAGGTGTGCGCTACCACTGCCCGAGACTAACCCCGTTTGTATTGCTCTCTGCTGGTCTAGGAAAAGCTGGTATGAAGCACATTGCAAATGTTCAGATGTGGCAAAAACTCTTAAAAGCCAAGGGTGGCTTTTATTATAACTAACTCACTTTGATTTGCTGTTATTCTGAGGTGAAGACAATCTTATTATGTAGCTTAAGATGACCTTGAACTCCTGATCCTCCTGCCTCAGTCTCCCAACCACTGGGATTTTAAGCATGTGGTATTATGCTTGGCTTCAACTTAGTTTCTCTAAACTGAGCATGGGATGTAACTATCAGTACACTACAATAATATGAATTGAAAAAAAAAAAAGCAAAAAAAGCCGGGCAGTGGTGGCGCACGCCTTTGATCCCAGCACTTGGGAGGCAGAAACAGGCGGATTTCTGAGTTCGAGGCCAGTCTGGTCTACAGACTGAGTTCCAGGACACCCAGGGCTACACAGAGAAACCCTGTCTCGAAAAAAAAAAAAACAAAGAAAAAAACAAACAAACCAAAACCACAAGTATGAAGTCCTTGTCCTGTCCAAAGTCTTGGAAAGGTAAGTAGTTACTGGACACCGTTTATACATACATTTAACTCTCATTTTTTTTTGACACAACACAAGGTCTCTTTATTATGTAGTCCTGGCTATCCTCAAACTCAGAGATCCACCTATCTTTGTTACCCGAGTGCTAGGACTAAGCATGTGCCAGCACACCTAGCTAGCATTCTAAAAAACAAACCTATCCACGAGAACTATTTTAAAATTGAAGAAAGGCAAATTAAACTCAAGACCCTTTGGTACTACATTATAGGAAATGATACATACAATAGCATACACTTGACAATGAACCAGGATTAGAGTTCATCTTGTGTGTATGTCCTGTGAGCTGTATATATACAATGTGGAGGCCAGAGGTCAAAGATACCAGGTGTCTTTCCCATTATTCTATCTCCAACCTTAAATAAGTCTCTCACCGAACCTGAAGCTCACCAATTCCACAAGCCTAGCTGGCCATAAGCCTCGGAGTCTCTGAGAGCTTCCCCAGCAGAGATTACACGTGAGCACTAGTGATCTAAACCCAGGTCCTTATGTCTGTGTGGCAAGCACCTTACCAACTGAACCATCTTTCCAGGCCATAAACAACTTACTTGGAGAAGTCTTTAAGCCAGTCATATTGAACATATATATGTTGTCATCTGTGCAGTTAGCAAATAAAGTTGAGCCAGTAGAATCTAAAACCAAGCTTGAGTATCCTGGAAAAGTTAATAGACCGTCAGTGAGGTTAAAGTGTGGGGGCAAAAACAGTTCATGCCATATAATTCTGTTTTAAAAATATAAAGAAATCAAAATTATATTTTTATCTTTATATCCATATACTTAACTATTTTTTGCTGAAATTAGCCTGGTATTAATACTTTAATTCTTTTTTATTTCTAATGAAAATTCATATTTTACCCCAAATTCTACAAGGGCTTACCTAGTTTTCGAGTGCTGGTACCTGGGTACAGGAAAGACTTGGATGCTATAGGTTCTTGTCGATAAGCAGTGTAATTCTTGCGTAAATCCCATACCTTGATTATTCTAAAAACCAAGACAAGTACTTCATAAACCATCTAGACCAGTGATTCTCAACCTTCCTAACGCTATGGCCCTTTAATACAATTCCGCATGTTGTGGTGACCCCCAACCATAGAAGTATTTTCATAGATACTTCAGAATTTAAATTTTGCTACTGTTATGAATCATAATGTAGACATCTGATATACAGAGGTCTTAGATGACCCCTGGAAAAGGGTGGTTTGACTCCTAAAGGGTTGAGAACTGCCAGTCTACAGATCTCCTAACAATGTTCCTTCCAGGAGTGTGAAATCACTTGTAATCTATGTCCTCTGGCACACTGCCCAGGTACACTGAGGACAGCTCACTGGAATTGAACTTAACTATTTCATACGACTGTTTCCAATGGCAAGCTCACAGTTCATACAAACGGAAACAGATGTGATGTGACCCAGGGATGAGTCACTGGCACTTATCCCAGGGCAGCGGGAAAAGGAAGCCAGAGGTCAGATGTCGATAGTCATTGCTCCATTGTTCTTCTAGAAAAAAACATTTCCTAACCTGTAAGACTGCATATATCCCCTGCAGCACAGGGCGCGCACCCCATGCTTTATTTCTATACATAACTCCTTAACTAAACGTTTTCCTGTGAAAGGGGATGTGTTTTCATTTTACCTATTGGGGTAATTGTCTTGTTCCTTACTTTTACTTTGTGGTTATCTAGCACTACGCATTTATCATAAAATAGCAGTACCTTTAGTTAGACATTTTTAAATTAAAAACTTGAATACAGAATTGCATTTATAATTGGAGATATAATAGGCAAAGATGTACAAGTAAAGAAGCCCTGCATATAAATAATCTATTTTCACAGTACTCTGTAGAGAAAAGAACAAATGAACAAACCCCGCAGTCTTATTTGGCCATCAGTACTTAGACCAATCATTGCTATAGGCAATGTGCCAAGCACAGCACATGGATTATCTCAATTTCTATTTTCCAGTGTGACCTGTAAACTTCTTCCCAGCTCCAGCACCCACTGTGTCTAAAATAAGGCACACACGTAATTACTTTAATGGGACTAGGTACTACTGCAGCTCACAAAAGGCAATGGAGTAAAAAGCAGAAGAAATAAAGTCTTTTACCCATCCACGGCTCCTGCTGAGACTAATGTATTCTCATCCTGAAAGAGGACCACAGTAACACTCTGCTGGGAATCCTAATAGCACAAGAAAGAAAAACGAAGGAAATTCTGTTTTGGGCATCACAGCTTCACCAGGGTACTTAACAAGGTACTTAAAGCTAGCTTTTCCGAAGCTGCTGTAAGACTGTGTCTCCTAAAAATGTCAGGAAGCTTCACTGATGATATCTTAACAATATGGCTGCCTAAACAAGACCCAAAGAAGTACACTAATAGACACACTAACAATGGAAGAGGGAATCTCACAGGGTCCCACATATAGACAAACAAGTATAAGCAATAAAGGACTGCTGAGAGCAGGAGAGATAGTTAACTCTAGAGAGAAAGCTTCCTGCCCAGTTATCCCATACCATGTGACCAGCCCTGAAATCATACATACTAAACAAACAGAACATGTTATATTTATATATGTAGGCACATATGCATATGTGTATGTAACAATAACAAAAACATAGAAGCCACGATTTTGAGAAATCAGAGAGGGATAGAAAGCAAGAGTAAAGGGAGAGAGGGGAAAGAATATGTTAATTTTTAAAAGTGTGTGGACTGTGCTGCAGTAGTCATGTAGTAGACAGATGCTCGAAACATGCCCATAGTACTTTTTTTTTCCTAGAAAAGTGGCCATTGATCTCATTAATGCAGTTTTCTGATATTCTTGTATGTAAGGTCTGAGTAAAATTTAGGAGGAAGTGTAACTGCTAAACTATTGTGATTGAACAGTACATTCTTCAGTCCATACTCTACATCTGTGGAGACCAGATGACATTAAAGTGTCAACTTTCATTCCAAGACAACTTGTGAGGGACTAGCACTTGGGAGACAGAGTTCCTCTAACCAGTGCTTTTTAGGAGCCCAGTTATCTCCTACCATGTGGATTATGAATATTGAACTCAGTTCTTCATACCCACTGAAACATCTTACCAAACTGGGAAATTTTTACTTTTTTGTAAGTGTGGTTTTGTTTTGTTGGTTTTATTTTGGGGTTTTTGAGACAGGATCTCTAAATAGCTCAGCTGACCTGGAAGTTATTATGTAAACCAGACTGGGCTTGAACTCAAAAGAGATCTACCTGCCTCTGCCTCCCACCTGCTAAGTTTAAAGGAATGTACCACCATGCCCTGCCTTCTTCTAGAGGTCCTGAGTTCAATTTGCAACAACCACATGGTGGCTCACAACCATCTGTAATGGGATCTGATGCCCTCTTCTGATGTGTGTCTGAAGATAGCTATGGTGTACTGGTATATACAAATAATAATAAATAATATTTAAAATTAATTACTAATATTTAAAAATTATTAATATTACAGAACAATCTACCAGCTCTAGCAAGTACTCCCAAAAATTTAATACTAAAATTGTGTAAATTTCAGCACCATTCTTACAGTAAGTTGACTAAAATATCGAGAAGAAAATAACTAAAACTTTATCATGTTTATATTGCCTATTTTCATTAAGAATACATAGTGCATGAAGATAAGGACTCATTTCCCATAAAAGGCTTGTCACTTGGACTTTAACATGCTTCTTCAAACTGCCTTTCACCTTTTATAACAGATGCATGTATGTTCAGAAAGCTGACGCTTTGCCATGCTCCCTACACAAGCCACAGGAGCTTGAGAACCATTGGAGTGGTACTAAGTAACTTTTAAACAGTTAACACCAAAGAAATTAAGAGTCACATCCATCTTTTTGCCTAACAAATTCCTTACAGGGAGATTTGATTCTCCCTCCTGTTAAGAGCCACTAATGTCATACATGGTGGCTCACATTTATAGTCCTAACGCGTGGTAGGCCAAGATAGAGAGAAAGATCATGCATTCCAGGTCAGCCTAAGCATACACAGAGACATTGCCTCAAAGGCAAGCAAACACAATAACAAACAACAACAACAACAGCCCCTTATTTACACATAAACTTCTCTAAAGCCTTACCACAGAAGGAGCAAGTCCTTTTAAATGTTGTTTCTTCTTGGGTTTTGAAGGGGTTTGCTTGTCTGCAGTATTGTGAGCTCCGCTGATTTGATTCACTTGCCTATAAAATCCATCTGAAAGGTTTCAAAAAAATTGATTTTAGTGTTTTCTGATTTCAGGCTGAAAGTAACATGACCTGAGTTTGATTCCCAACTCACACGTTCAAATGGGAGAATGGATCCACATGTGCTGTGGCATATATATACACACACAATAAATTAAAAAACAAAAACAAAATAACCGCAAAATCCCAAAGAACCAGTTTATCTCCCATGGTGAGTTTATAACATACACAAAGAAAGAAAAACACAGTTATACAGTTTTATTCATAACAGCTAAAACATGTAAACAATCAAGATATCCTTCAATGGATGAATGGATACAATGTGGTATACCTGGACAAAAGAATAATTCTGTGCTAAAAAGAAGAATGGAGTCATGACATGACTCCATTCATGAAAATCTGGAAAACCATGGAGACAGTAAAAACACCCATCAGTAGTAGCAAGGCTTAATGAGGAAGCATGAACACCAGGACACAGACATGTTTTAGGGCACTGAAACTACTCTATGTATTACAATGGTAGATAGATGCCGTCTATTTGTCAATACCCATAGCATATGTAACATGAAAAATAAACCCTCGTGCAAATTATGGATTTGGGGTAATTATGTATCAACCAACACTTAAAATGTACCAACTGAATGACAGGAGAAGCTGTGTATGTGTAGGTGTTCAGTATAGATGGGATTCTCTTCACTTTCATGTTACTATGAAATTAAAACTGCTCCACAAAAATAGCTTAGCATTTTAAAATGAATACATGAATGAATGAATGACAAACACACCAGTGAGCATCTCCTTTAACACCACCACAGTACAATACAAGCTTGTATTCAATTTCAGCCGTAATTGTTTTAATGTGAGGGGAGAAGGAAAGGACTGTACCCCATGGTGCCAGCGTATGGAGGTCACAGGACAACTTGGGGGAGTCAGTTCTCTCCCTCTACGTGTAGGAACCCAACTCGGGTAGTTGGGTTTGATGACTAGCACCTTTATCTGATGAACCATCTTGTCAGGATGAAAAAGGAAAATTAAAAAACAAACAAAATCACCTCAAACAAACCTTTACTCAGTGAACCTATACATTAGTAGTTTTAATTCTATCAATAATTTAGATAGATGGAATTAAAATTCAGAGACAATATGAAATTAAAAACATATTAATAGTTTTGCAATAATCATTACCTTGAGAATTAAGCAATGAGCAGGACTGGGGACACAAGTGCCCCCTGCTGGTATCAGATGAAATCACTAGCATTTGTATTTTATTTTGAGTATCTTATTTTATTAAGCATAGGGTGAGCCACATTTATTAAAATTAAGACAGAATTAGTTTACCTTTTTTGTTGCACCTGGTGTCCCAGATCATAATGTTGCCATCTCTCCCACCTGTACAGAATACAGCTGTGGGAAGAGTTCATCGAGATGTTGTAAAACTAGTCAAAGACACATTTCCATTAAAATTTCCCAGAGAATGCATTCTCCAAGTCCTGAATTTGGCACCAGAGATTAAAGAAAATGATAGCGTAGCAATTGCTAACACATAGGAGAACTTACTATCTTAAGATATCTTAAGTTCTACACACTTTTCACACATTACCTCAATTCCACCTGTCAATCTAGTAGGTAGGCACTACTCTTCCTATTTTAAGATAAGTGATGTCTAAAAGTCTTCTTTTTTAAAAACCAGGTAAAAGTACTAACTCTGAGTATGAAAGAGGTATCAGCATTGAATAGAACACAGCACTTCCATTTATTTGTAATGTTTTATTTTTCAGGTAAAAGTGGAAGTTAGGTATTCAGTGGCACAGCATTTGTCTAGTATGCACAAGGCCATTGCAAAACATGCATTTACAAAAAATTTAAAAAAATTCTGCTTCCTGTATGGAAGAGTGAGCAATTAACTGGTTCAACTATAATAGCTATAAATTGAACAAAGTACCAAAATAATTACTTGAGAGCTTTGTGGACACTGAATAAAAATACCTAATTTTGTAGGAGTTAACAACTATATCAGATGATTAGATTGTGGAGAAAGCTAGGCAAACGGTAACTAAATGTCAATGGGAAAACCTGCCAGCTTCCTCTTAAGACAGAGGAACCAGGAAAGAGACTGGGGGTGGAAAGGGGCTCGATCACAACAAGAGCTGTGCAAGCAGGTGAGCTTGACACAGAGAGAACCTTTACTTTTGTCCTCAAACTCAGCCTCATCTCTGGATGATATGCTGAGTTAACGAATTGATAGATCCATTGCTCTCCCATATGAATTATTGCACAACTCTGAGTAAACTAAAAACTGTTTAAATATACAGTTTTAAAAAAGCAAATTTTATGGTATATAATATGGTTTGAACAGTTTACCACCTTGTGCACCAGCAAGGTAAAGGTAGGGCTCTACTCTCATCAAAGCAGCTTCTTTTTGTAGCAGATGGAAACTGTTTACAGAGACCCACAGTTGCTCATATGCCCACCCTCAATTGGTACATCTATAACATAATACCCAAGACTCAGTGAACACCACAGGAGCCGGAGTGTTAAAGATTCTGAGAGCCAGAAGAGCAGAATGCCTGCTGTGAGATAGTGGCTTCTAGATAGAACATGGCCACTGTGCCTCTGAAATCTCAACAGTATGGCTGCCTAATCAAAACCCACATAATGACAATACCAGTTGACATGCTAGCATGGATAGAGGGAATTTCATAAAGCTCCACCCTTAGATGAAGAACTACAGGAAAATCAATTTCCTCTGTGGACCAGCCTCCTGATAAATTTCTAATCCCCAGTGGTCAGCCTTAAATACATGTACAAAGAAGCAACACTAAATGGACTCAGTAGGTTGTACATACATAGTGTCAGGTCCAAAGAACACTCCATTTCCCCAAATTCTAAAAGGCAGATGGGGCAAATGGCTATCTGCAGTGCTTATTAGCATTCCAAAGCACACTTTGGCCTCCAGGCTCCCTCGGCATCACAAGTACCTGTTACAATTTCCTAAGTCCTAGCTCTTCTCACCACCTCCTCTACTCTAAACTTCCCTAGTTCATGGACTTCCCTCAACCCTAGCTACTTGTTCTCCTTATTATCCTGTTATTTCAGTTATGCTCTGTCTGCACCCCTCTCACTTTGTCCCTCCTGCTTCACTCATGGCCAGGTCCAGTCTACTGGCCGAGTTATTTAATCTACTTTCTCCCTCAGTTCTGTTCTTCCCGAGGCCTCTGGCTGTTCTCCCTCTCATCCCTATAAAAAAGCGCTCTAATCCCATGGAGTAGTCATGTTGTCTGTTTGTACAGACAGACATGCTAGTATGGCCCTCTTTCCCCAAGCCAACCAAAAGTTCAAATTAACTTTCAGGTTTTATCTCTAAACAGGTGTGAGCTTTATTATACTTCTGGTTAATAATAAAGAAATTAAGAAAAAAAATTCAGGAGGTCTGCCCATGATCAAGCAGGAAGTGACAAGAACAGCAATATCCCCAGTTACAGACATCTGACACATACATACACGTTTGAGAATGTGGAGTTACACAGGAGGAACTGGAGGGGAGAGGCAGATATACTATGAATACAGTATTCACTTATGAAATCCTTAAAGTAAGCTTAAATTTAAAAAACATTCCTCAACTGTAGCTGTACGCTGGGACCCCCTGATGAAGTAAAACAGACAGACAGGCACACAGATAACCTGGCTCATCCACTACAGATTACCATTTAATTACTGTGTTAAAAACACCATCAGATAACCAAAGATCACTGGGGTTGAGAACCACCAGCTTAGAATGAAGGACTGGCTTCAGACTAAGTGAAGAATGAAAAGGTTCAAATATATGTAAGTTTTTAGGAGACAAGGAAATAAATTTATAGCTAATTTTAATTATCTACTAGAAAATCTAATACTATTCCTTCTCTTTCTGGCCAAAGTACCTATGTCCAACATACCAGTCTTTAGAAGACAGCCATTCAGGGGAGTCAAATTTCACTAGTATCAACGTGTCCAATTACGATCATTAGTATCTTGTTCATATAGGGTTGAATAAACTGGACCAATCAATTTTTCTACTATGCTACCATAAAACTAAAAAAAAATCCACATAACCCTCCCCCCTTCCCTAACATTTATGGTCTCTGTGTTTTAAAAAATAAAAATGAGTTCATACCCCCCCTTTTAAAAAAGGTTTATTTATTTTATGAGTATACTGTAGCTCTCTTCAGACACACCAAATTACATTACAGATGGTTATGAGCTACCATGTTGCTGGGAATTGCACTCAGAACCTCTAGAAGTCAGTGCTCTTAACCACTGAGCCATCTTTCCTGCCCTCGCCCCCCACCTCATTTTTATGCTTACAGTTATTTTCCTGACTTAAATGTTGTTGAGCACTAATCTAATTAAAGTAACAAATGAATGTCCAAGGAGATCAAAATGACTTTGCAAAGTCTAAAAAGTTGTCTATTCTATGCATGGCTAAGTGGAAGCAAGGCCGAAGCTAATCTGTTTCACCGAACAACCTATGGCCCATTGTAGGCAGTTTCCAACTCAGCTAACTCACGTACCACTAGAAGCCACTAGTGCCACATCCAACACAATGCATTTTCTTTTACATGAGATTGGTATAAACTTATCCACACTTTTAAAAATTAGGCAAAGGCATTAATAGACATAGTGTTTCCCTTTCCAACACTGTTAAAAATTAGGTAAAATTACATGATCATAAATTATTCCTATAGATTTTATGTTAACTTAAGTTTAAATCTAAGAGTTCAACAAATGAGAACACATTCTTAACTTCACACAGTACGTTGTTAAATGAACAGTTATGTGGGATCAAAACTCATGATATACATTGCCTTTTCAGAATTCCATCTTACCAGCAACTACAACAGAATAAACTTAACTTTGTGACCTGGAAGTGGTGGCACATGTCTGTAATTCTAACATGGGAGGCTGAGGTGGGAAGATCACAAGTTTCTGGGTAGTCTGAGGGCCTGCTGTCTCAAAAATACAAAGCAACTTCACTTTGCGAAAAGTCTAAATCACTCAATAGCTTAGTTCAGTATTCCTGAGCATTTGTATGAATAAATAAAAACAAGGTATTTTGCCAAGTGAAGTGCCTTTAATCCCAGCACCAGAGAGGCAGAAGCAGAGGAATTTTGAGGCCATCTACTTTACATAGTGAGGTGTGCACAGTGATACCCTGACTCAAAAAACTCAAAAGACTAACTGTTGGGGGTTAGTCTGGTGCTGCTACATATTCAAATGCTAAATACCTGCCCCTCAAGATCTAGTTGCTACCCTCAGCAGATCCTCATACACACCAAGTGATGCTATGCAAACCTTGCTCTGCAATTTACTGGTTAAGTAAAGGTGGCTACAGCCAATTACTGGGGAGAATAAAGAGGTGGAGTTTGAGTTAATGGGCTGGGGGTGGCAGGTAGAGACCATGAAGGATAAGGAGAAAGGAGAGAGGAGCATAGAAGAGAAGATGGAGAGAACAGGTCTCCATTAGTCATGATGGACAGCAGCACGAGTGAGAGTGAAATGCCTCCCTCCCTACGACACTACACTGCTGGAGCAGAAATACCCAGGAAGATTCAAACAGCAAGTATTTGGGGAAGCAGCCAGTCTAGCATTAGAGAATTAGGGGTAATACCCCAGTAATTACACAGAGCCTAATAAAAAATTAGTTTGAGTCTCATCCATTTGAAGCTAGACAGGGATAAGAATAAATCAATTATCTTACAGCTAACAATAGTACTCTTACCTACCTGCAAAGTTGGTCATAGAAAAAGTAAAATTGTCCTAAGTCTATTACCTTACCAGGAAAAGCTGAAGATAATACCAAAGAATGGACACAAGGGACTGGAGAGATGGCTCAGAGGTTAAGAGTACTGATTTTCCAGAGGATCTGTTTTGATTCCCAAACCCCTCACCATGGCTCACAACCTCCTTAACTCTAGTCCCAAAGGATCTAGTGTCCTCTTCTGGCCTTGGCAGGCACTGCACACATGCAGTGCACAGACATATATGCAGGTGAAAGACACATACCACATTAAAAGAATAATAAAAATAAATTTAAATGGGCCTGAGCCAACTAACTTCATTAAGATTTTCAGTTAAAATAAAATCTCCATCACCTAGTTAGGTAAAGTGACAACTTTGAGAGAGCAGTGACAGAAACAAAAATGTCATTGTATCTCCCCACCATTAAGGAAAATGACGAATATCAACCTACCTTTTTGAAACTTGGAAAAAGCTACAGACTTGAGGCTGCACTGGTGGCCTTTGCATGTTCCCATTAGCTCACCAGCTTTTACGTCCCAAAATTTGGCTGTCTGATCACCAGCTGCTGTAACCTTCCAAAAATAATATAGTAAAATTTAAGAAAGAAACTCTTTATCAGCATCTACTCAGACCTAATAAAATGGAAGTCACTTACAAGTTTAAGTTCACCAGGGACCCAGGCCAGGTCAAAGACAGCATTCCAGTGAGCCATCCATTCTAAATAAAGAAAACATAAGTGTGACAGATCCAGAGTGATAGTCCTACCAGTAGAAGTTTAAACAACCTTTATGAAAGCTTAAATAGGAATGTGTGTGAGTCCGTGGCCCGTAGGGAGTGGCACTATCAGGAGTTGTGGTCTTACTGGAGTAGATGTAGCCTTGTTGGGAGTATGTCACTGTGGGGGCAGGCTTTGAGGTCTACTGTACTCTATGCACAGTGTAGCAGTCTCTTGATGACTGTGGATCAAGATGTAGAACTCTCAGCCCCTCCAGCACCTGTACCTGCTGTCTACCTGCATGCTGCCATGCTTCCTGACACGATGATAATAAACTGAACCTCTAAACAGTAAGCCAGCCCCCAATGAAATGTTCTTCTTTATAAGAGTTGTTGTGGCCATGGTGTCTGTTCACAGCAATGAATCTGTAAGGCACCCAGGAAGTTTTCATTATAAAATGGTAGCTAGTACTCTGTCAACAGGCCAAAGAGCATAATGGAGTCACAGTCGTCACACAGCCCCTCCAGGGCACATGCAGGAGTTACTATCTGAGGTCAAATGAGGGATAGAGAGATGACTCAGTGGGTAAAGTACTTGCTGCACCTGCAAGGGGACCTGAGTTCACATGCCCAACACGCCAATAAATACCAGGTGCAAGTATAATAAAATTAATGAGATGCGTATCCAGTGAGAGATCTTGGATCAAAAAGTAAGGCAGAACATGATTCAGGAGGACATCTAATAACTTCTGGCCTCCACACTCATGTACACTGGTGTACATGCACCTTCCCAAAGTCCCCTTCCCCAAAGAAATAAAATTATTTTCTGAGTATTAGAAGTATCCTCTAGAACAAAGAAGTAATTTCAGGCAGGAATCTAAATCTTAGGATAGAACAAAGAAGTAGACTTCAGGCATGAAAATGACTTTGGGCTAGGACAGGGAAGTAGGCTCAGATATTTTGGTCATCCTGATAAGCTCTTAGAAGCAGTGATCATGGGAGTGATCACAGGACTTGTTTATTGCCTTGCTTGTTCCTTGACTATTTGCATCTATCAAATTGTTAGTTCCTCAACTGACCTTAATACTTGCATGTATTTAAGATGCTATAAAAGTAGATTGGGAAAAGATAAGAAAAATTAAAGAAATAAATAAAATACAATGTAAAAAAAAACAACAAAAAGTATTCTCTAAAATAGGATCTTCTCAAAATATTACATCAAAAGCCTTCACAAAGTCCTAATAAAAAAATAAGGTTAGCCTGACTTTAGTTTGGCGTTTGAGGTCCTGCTTGCTTTGACTCTGCATGTTAGCTCTGTAGAAGCACTTCTCTCTAACTGTTACCATCATGTGTATGTATGTTATCTACCTCATCCCACCCAAGCTAACCACCATTCTTGTACTAAAACAGTGAGTTTCCAAAGGTTTTATGAATTAGAAATGTTAAAAATTACAGACTCACCCTTGAAGCATGTCTTTTTGCTAGCCTGTGATTCTGTATTATATAATCTGACAAAGCCTTCTTCATTAGCAACTGCTAATATGTGTTCCATTCTGGGAGCTGAAAAGAAACAAAGAATATATATATAAGGACTTTCAAAATGAGTACAAAGGTATCAAAAGACTCAAAACAGGTCTGAGAGACGGCTCAGGTCAAGAGTATTTATTGCTCTTACAGAAAACTGAGGTTTGAGTCTCAGCACCCACATGGCAGCTCCCAACTGTCTGCAACTGTAGTTCCCAGGGATCTAAGGCCCTCTTCTGGCCTCTGTGGTCCATAAAGAAATACACAAGCAAAACATCCATACACATAAAAATAATTTTTAAAAAACTGACTCTAACCAACAAAATAGTCTTCAGATACTTCAAATACTCTGACTTGACTAAACCAAGAGGGTTACTGGCCAAAGGCAAATAAAATTAGGATGCAGACCACAAGCGGATAACTTCCTTTTTATGACTTTTCCCCAATTAAACTATTAGACTGGAGATAAGAACTTCTATTCACATTTTTTTAAGTGATTGCTAGGAAAAAAAAACCCTTAATTTTAAAAACATTTTGGTACCTTATAAATCATCAGTTATGAGAATAATTTTAACATCTATACTTTTCTTTCAAAGTCTATTTTCCCTCTAAGAAGCAATCTTCCGTTCAAGCTTAGTGTATTTAGTCATTTTCTCACCAGTACAGAAGGTGCATCCAAAAGGAGGAACTGGAACTCCTGTTTCTCCATAAGAAATGTGTTCATCGTTACAGTGACACTGATAACCACTTAGAAGGGATTGAAGAGGGTAACGTGAAGACCACCCTAAAGCAAGACAATTCTTTTAAGAATTAAAATGTAACATCATGTTTTAGCATTTCCCACAAATCTAAAGATAAGTATCTTTAGTCTTATTTGTCTCTTTGAGGCAAGAAGCAATGATCCTGCTTCTGCCTCCCAAGTGAGGAGGATGGAAAGTATGAGCTACTATACCTGGCTAAATATTTGTTCATACAGAACTTTACATATGTAATTTAGATCTACTCACTATCTATGGTGCTCCAGAATACCACTTCTGGTATTTTCATTCCATTCCATTCCATTCCATTTCTTTCTTTTTTTTTTTTTTGGACACAGGGTTTCTCTGTTGCCCTGGCTGTCCTGGAACTCACTCTGTTGACCAGGCTGGCCTTGAACTTAGAGATCAAGTGCTGAGATTAAAGGAGTGTACCACCACTGCCCAGACATTTCTGCTATTTTCTTACGCCATAGGCAGAAATCAAAACACTCCGAGGACATTTGGGTTACACTATGTGTGTATGTGTGTGTATGTGTGTGTGTGTGTGTGTGTGTGTGTTTTGAAACAGTCTCATTATGTAGTACTCTGGCTGGCCTTGAACTTACCATGGCACAGATCAGACTAACCTTGAACTCAGAGATCCATCTACCTCTGACTCCCAAGTGCTGGGATTAAAAGTATGTTCAACCACATCCAGCTCTGTTTTACCATCTTAAATGTAGAAAATTAGTGTATTATGGTCAGCACCAGTGCAAAGAGTTCTGACTCTTCTAGCGAAGACACAGCCACTAAAGTATTACCAATTAAACTGTTACTTCCTTCTATGAAAGGTTTATTTTGGGAGTGTCAAATGAGAAAATCAAGCAAACAGCAATCATAATACAATCAGCATTCAAAGGGTTATTGTATCAACTAGCAATTTAAATTCCTTTTTCCGAAAAGTGTTGAAATCCTAGGATCCTAAGATTCTAACAGGAACCCAGTCACAGTATCTTATATAAGATATGCCTCAAAAGTGGTCTGTCTCTGCCCCTAAGAGATGCGGCTTTAGAGAACAGCTCAAAGTAAATTTTCATTTCATTCAGAAAGAAAGTCAACTTTCTAATGTATATCATGGACCTAAATAATAAGTCATCATTTAAAATCTGGTTAGTATGAACATGTAGGTTGGCTCATTTAAATATACAAAGGTTGAATGTACTTATTCAAAACACTTTTAAGACCAAGAATGTTTCTAACTTGCTTACATTTTACTGGTTGGGTTTTTGCACATCATATTAGCACTCAAAAACCCTCAGATTTTTTAGATTAACATGTTCAGCCTCAGTAAGAGAAACATTCATTCAAGAAGTAACTGCTGATTAAGGATCAGATGAAGTAATGAGCTGACAAGTTCAAGAGCTGCAAATGTTAAACTCACATCTCAGGGCACTGCCAATTCTCGGATTTTGGTTTATTTAAGAATCTGACCTGGACATCCAGCAAGACAATGCAAGGTGTGTGATGGGGACATGAGAATGCCTTCCTTTTGTGAAATGGAAGAAAGGAAGGGATAAAGATGATGAGAATGGGAGCCCTCTCAGACAGAGAAGACATTTCAGCCTAACAGAAACACCACTTAAATCTAGCTAGAGAAGGAATTAGTAGAAAAGAGAAAAGGAACTTAATCTAGATTTAAAATTGCTGTGGGCATGGCTCCATACTTTGAATACTAAGTAAACCTATAAATAAACTGAGAGACCACTACAAACATGTACTCATCTTAAAAAAAGTAAATCTGAAAACAAAACACACGTGTTTGATGTGGGATTGTAAGTCCATTCAAAGAGGAATCACAGAAGTAAAAATGAAGATACAGTTTGCTTTGGATATTTTCACAATGGAGCTAATACCTTAACTCTGCCTCTTTACCTCAACTAATATTCAGACTGACAAACAGTATTTAAAGTGACTCATTGAGCAAGCCCTACTTAGTCCATTATTTCTGCATCTCCCCATAATACACTTTTGGATCTTTATTGTGCTATGAATATAAACCTGTAGTTCTCCAGACACCAACACTCATCTGGAAAAGTCCATTCTTTCCTCAATACATAGCTAAAGGCCCACATTCACAAGAAATATACAAGGCTTTGCATTTTTCAGAGGATCAACACCTTGACAATTCAACAGCATCCGTACATTATTTCCAAAGCTGCTCTGAGTAGGTCCTACCACCTGCTTCACTTCCTTTCTACTTTCACAAAAGGAAGGTATTCTATTTTCCCTTCCTCATCTTAAACCTTGCATTGTCAAAAGATAAACTACTACATGTCCATTATAAATTTTTAAATAAGGGCTGGAGAGATGAGCAGCAGTTAAGAGCACCATCTGCTCTTCCTGAGGTCCTGACTTCAAGTCCCAGCACCCACATGGTGGCTCACAACCATCTGCAAAGGGATCCAATGCCCTCTTCTGGTATATGTCTACACCATAAGTGCAGCTTCAGTGCACTCCTATAAATAAAAAAAA